AGTTTCTGAGACAGGATCTCCTGCTAACCCCCAACTCACCATGTGGCTGAGGATGACCTTGAACTATTGGCCCGCCTCCCAGTGACCAGTGTGCCTCACACCTGGTGTATGGACCCTGGGATGGAACTCGGGACCTTGTGTGTGCTGAGGCCTGGGGCTGCAGCCCTGTCCCCTGCCTGTGGTGCTGGGACCAGCCTGGTGTGAGCCTCCTGCTGACTTCCCTGGTCACTGTAATTGCCCTTCCTGGCCCCCCCCCCGGGGGGGGGGGGTCTGTGCTCATTTGCACTAATATGGAGAGGGGCAGCCTGGGAAGGCAACTCTCAGTTATTGACTTAAAAGGAGACCTGAAAGCCGACATGTGGGTCATGACTGCCATCACAACACTCAGAGACAGAGGCAGGGCGGTAGCTGTGAGTTCCAGACCAGCCTGGACTACATAGTGAGATCTTAAGAGTTTCTGTTTTGTTTTGTTTAGGAGAGTAAAGGAGAGAACTAAAGATGTTTTAATTAGAATAGGACAGGGTGAGCCTGTCCCTCAGGGGTGCTAGGGGACGGCTCTGCAAGTCACAGGCTGGAGGCAGAGGTGGCAGACAGCTCCCCACGGCTGGGCGTGGTGGGCTTGGGGAGCCATCTCCTGGCTGTGCAAAGGCCCTGAGTCCTCCCACCCAGTCCGTCTCAATGAGCTCCCCAGGGCCTGTGTGGCCTCTGTACCTTTGTCTGGGCTCTGAGACAGGGAGCAGCCTTGTCCCCAGCCCAAGATGGTCCCATAAATCCTCCATCCCCAAGGTCCACAGGCCAAGGCTGAGAAAGAAGGGAGCGGCCAGCCAGGCCTCAGGATGTGGCAGCTGGACTTTGGCTCTGGGGCCTCAGGGGGGAGTATACTTAGGTCGCTGCCTCTACTCTGGCCTCAGTTTCCCTTTGTCTGGTGTTGGTGGTAACCCCCGCTGCTCTTTGAGACCCAGGCTCAGTAAGCCACTGGGTGACTTCTAGATTCTGCTCTGCAGGCTGCCCTCGGACTCGCCATGCCCCTGCCACACACAGCCCCCCCCTTGCTGGGATCAGGGGCCTACATCACAGGCCCAGATGTTTTTTATTTTTATTTATTTTATTTTATTTCACATGGGGTCTCACAATGTAAACCAAGCTGTCCTAGAACTCACTAGCTCCAACTCAGAGGCCCGCCTGCCTCTGCTTCCCAAGTGCTGGGGATTTGGTGACACATTCAGGTCTTTAATCCCATGGTCTATGGGCCATGTTGACACTGGGGACCACCTGGAAGTCCATGCTCCGTGCTCCCCTGACTGTAAGGGGCAGGAAGCACTTTCACTAAGGTATTGATGGCTGCAGACTCAGTTGAGAGCAGGACATGGAGGGCTTAGGAGACAACCCTACACGTACCCCCCAAAAGCAGCTGCCTAGACCGCCAGCCATTGAATCTCTGAGCTCGAGGCCAGCCTGGTCTGTGGAGTGAGTCCAGGATAGCTAGGGCTACACAGAGAAACCCTGTCTCAGAAAAACAAACAAATAAAATCATGGTAAGGATGCTCAAGTGTAGCTCTCTCCACAGCTGATGGCTCCTGGCAGGCTTGGCGTGCCACCGGGGCTTTGACCATGCTCCAGTGAGCATGGGTAGCACAAACTGGACGTGACTTTTATTTCTCAGTTTCTTTTCTCCTTTTTCGGGGGAAGGGTGGTCACAGGGGTTGGAGGGTGGACATCGGAGGACTGGGAGCTGAGCATGGTGCATGAGGTGAAATTCCCAGATAATCAAAAAAATATTATGTAGGGGGAAAAGGATGTGTGCCACCGTACCTGGTGCTTTCTGGGTTCTTTAATGGCCTTGGGTGTCCCTGCCCAGGGCCTCAGGCGTCACCATCACTGAGAGCAAGAGTTAGCCTGGATCTGGCCCCTAAAAGGTCCCACCATGCTGAGTACAGGGATGGAGGCGCCTTCGCCAGGCCCACACTCAGGAGGCTGAGGCAGGAGAAAGCTGCGGTCCAGACTGCCCAGGACAGTCTGGGTTCCAGAGCCTCTGTTGGGCAGGCCATGCTTGCCCATGTGCACCCATGTGGAGGCCAGGGTGGTGCTGGCCGTCTGGTGTTCTCCACCTCAGTGCGGGGTCACCCACGCACACAGCCATATGTGGGTGCTGGATTTGAACTCTGGTCCTCATGTTTGCATACTAAGCCCTCTTACTAGCTGAGCCCTCCCCTCAGCCCCTGGGGAGGGTTAATTTCTTGATGACAATTAACCCAGTGATGATCCCTAACCCATGAACCCCAAACAAAGCAGATCACAGTGGCTAGAGAAAAAGGCCCAGCGTCATAGCACCGGCTGCTCCTGCAGAGGACCCAGGTTCGATTCTCAGCACCCACCAGGCACCTCACACCCACCTGTGACTCAGCTGCACGGGGACCCAACACCCCCTTCTGGCCTCCACCTGTACTGCACATGTGTGCACAGATGCAAGCAAAACACCCTCACATACAAAATAAACAAACTTACATTTTTCTTTTAGATAAAATCAATCTCTTTAAAAACAGGAAGAAAGCAGAGCCCGGATCCACACAGGGCCATGGTCACAGACACTCATGGGAATATGACTCAGGCCATTCCCTGGCTGGAAACCACTGCACTGTCCAGGATAGGAGAGGCCCGACAACTCACTCCAGCCACAGAATGGAATATTATGCAGCAAGAAAAAGGAAACTGTGGGGGCTGGAGAGATGGCTCAGCTCGGCTCTGCCCCGGCTGCTCTTTCAGAGAACCTGTGTTCAATTCCCAGCACCCACACGGCTGCTCACAGCCACCAGGCCCAGGGGATCCGAAGCCCTCACACACAAGCATGCAGGCCAAACCTCAGTGCACATCAAATAGGACTAAATAAGTGTGAGCAGGAATGCTGGCATGTGCCTGTCACCCAGCATCTGGGAAGGCCTGAGGGGCCAAACCTGTGAACTGCAAGAGGAACTTTGACCTCTCTGGGCACCGGAGAGCCCCTTGCCGGGGCCATGAACACCTGGGGTGGGGACAGAGGCCTGATGGGAGAGTTTCGGGGAGTAATCTCCCCAAGGCCCCAATCAGCTAGTAAATGGAGACTTTGACCCTCCTCCTGCCTCTTATCTCAAGGCTAGGCGATCAGCGGCCCGCCAGGCAGGACAGCCCGGGGAGCAGGTGCCAGCACCCTCCCCCTCCTCTGTCCAAGACCTGCGCCCAAGACAGTGCCTAGCCTTCAAGTTCTTTGTCTCTTCTTAACTCGCCGATTGGCACTGAGTGTGTATTCATGCCTCCACCTGGAAGGTGGAGAACACGATGAAGGGTTCAGATTGGCCCACCAACACGGGGCCCCGGTTCCGCCGCAGCGCTGGAAAACACCAAACATGCACGCGTGCGCATGCGCACAGCTACAGTTGGTGTTTGGTATGCAGCAGGCAGACTGTTAATGCTTGCTCCTCACCCGGCAGGCATGGCGTCCGGGTGACAGCAGGTGCTCTACAATGTGTGACACACAGTGGAGTAATCGGCGGTGCTGCATCAGTGCCTAGTCCACAGTGGGGACTGCATACAGTGTCTGCTATACAGCAGGCACAGCACTCGTTCTCGGCACACGTTGTGTACGCTGGAGAACACTCAGCTCATGGACCCAGTCTTGAATGTGGCAGTTATATAATCACGTGTTCCCTTAGGCTGGTATACAGTAGACGAGACATTAATGCCTGAGCTACCGGAGGCTGCCGCATCAGCGCATACTCTTCAGTAAGCATTCTGTTCATACGGTGGCCTGTGTGGTATTTAGCGGGCGCTGCACGAATGTACAGTAGGGCATGCATTTCTGCCTGGCACACAGTAGGCCTGCTTAACAGTGGGCACGCGAGCCAGGCCTGGGCCTTTCCGCATATCCGCAGGCGGTGTTAGCCTCTGCAGGCGCTCACGTCAGATACGAACCTCAGCCTCTGTCCCGGCCTCATGCCCCGAGAGGAGCCCAGACCAGCCTCTCGGAGCCGGAATCTGATAGGCTTCACGAGAGAAGCCTCCAGCGTCGCCCGAGCGGCTCCTCCCCGGGCCAAGAGGAGCCCAGTGTAGCCGAGCGCAGTCGAGCGGCCCCTCCCCGAATCGAGAGGAGCCGAATGCTGCCGAGCGGAGCCGAGTGCAGCCGAGCGGGACCTCCCGGAGCCGAGCGGAGCCGAGTGCAGCCGAGCCGAGAGGAGCCTTTCCTTAGAGAAACCTCGTAAAGCTTCGCCTCCCTAAAGGAATCGAGCTCGGACTGCCGAGTCCTCCCCATTCCCACAATCCTCGGCGTCCACGCCCAGCCGCGGACCGCTCGGCCCCTTCCCACGTCGACGCAATCTCACGCGCGCCTGCGCTGCGCCCTCCAGACCCCGCCCCCGAGCGGCGAGGCCCCGCCCCCGCCGAGCTCAAGCCCTGTCCCTGCGGCGCGCGCGCGCGCGCACACACACACACGCGCGCGCGCGCGCGCGTAGCCGTGCGGCCCCTCCCATTGGCCGCGCCGCCTGCCCGTCGCGGGGCCCGTGCAGCGCTTCAGGTCCTCGGGCGCCGGCGCTCGGTGGCGGCGGCTGCGGGTGGCGGCGGCGGC